CAGCCAGGAGGAAATAAGGAGCATAGCCAAAATTAGCTAAAGAAAGCACTGTGTGTATGCCTCATTTATACATAATATATGGTTTATTATTCCATAAGACTACGGGTTTAATTTACTTTATACATGCATTTCAAATGTGCCACCCGTCCCCGAGTCTGTGCCCCAGCCCGGCCACCCTATCAAAAACTGTCTAGATCCGCCCCTGCAGGTTAAGTGTAGTTTGTTACAGGTAGAGTCAGGCCAGCTGCTTCTAGCTTTTACGCTAAGTTAAGTGGCTGCTGGCTCCAGCTACATATCCTCTGATACAGATATGAGAATGGTGTCGAGCTTCTCATGTAACTGTCAGCAAGAAAGTAAACAAGCAAAAATGTCAAGCATCTATTAAAAGCAATTAGTAAATTACACAAAGGAGCACATTCTAGGCTCAATGATACAAAGCTTGTACAAGTCACAGTGCATGTGCCAGGGTATGACGCAGCAGAGAGCCTGTAGCTACAGGTACGTTTAAAAAGTTGAGCTGTTTTTTCGAAATATCCACCAAACTGAAGCTTCCACACACGAGTGCACAAACAAAAACATGTGCTGTTCAAATCGATGACACTCAAGTTTTTACCTGGACTTCTTCATGATTTCGTCATTTGGGTCCTGCACTAAGGGATCCAGGAGAGACACACACACATCAGCACGTCAAAGGTGACACCTTTTGACTAATAAATAACCTGCTGATCACATACCAACCCAAACATCAGGAGTTTAACATTTAATGGTGTTTCTACACAGCCTCCGCTCAGATAATCAACATGCAGCTAATTTATCAGACTGGTTATAGTCATAGGAAAAATAAAAAGCTACTGTCACTGAAGACAGATGCAACCTGGCGGCTGAGGACCCGCTTCACAGCTGAAAAACGAACACCCTTTTTATCCACCATCCCTGCTCTGTCACTCACTCTCCAGTCACTATGATCACATCAGATCAAACTGTTCAGTCACAGGCCTCCTCCTACATCTTGTCTTCACTACCACATGTTTCACCCTCTAGTCCTCAGTCCTGACTTACTGAAGTCGGTGCCTGTGAGCTGGGCCAGGATACGGAAGGAGCGGGACTGGGTGGTGCCAGTGCGGGGCTGCCAGTCCTCAGTGTCTTCGATCAGCCTCTTCTTGCTGCGGTCGTTGGGGATGAAGCAGGGCACGTTCTCCACCCTGAGGCCGTGCCTGCACACACACCCAGCAGCAGCAGCACACGGGCAGGCGCGGTTAACACAATCCCATCAAGAGACTACCCACTCACATCAACCCAGCTAATCAGGTGACCTTGAAAATAGAGGACATCCTGAACAGATCATGCAATACTTAGGAGTGAAGCTCAGTATCCCAGTCACACAATAAGCAAGCTAATGGATACACATTACTACGATTTCTCTTGGGCACACTCTAGACTCATAAATGGACATCACCACATTAGAGATCTTATTTATAACCATCATTAAAAATCGGTGGCAGAAAGCTGTCACACTACAGCGCCTGGCTTTACTTGTGGGAGATGTTTACTACATGCCAAAGCTTTTATTTTGATCAACAACTCAAGAAGCAGCACAAAAGGCGTGTTTCAATTCAAATATACATCATTTCAACCCAGTTTCAGATCAACTACAGCATGGTTATTAATGACCTGGCATTTTAAACACAATCTGTGAATGTAGCATTTGCACTTCTTTTGTCATTATCAGCTTGCCCATAAGATACTACACCGACAAACCAGACGGCATGCGGCTGACCCTTACTTGGACTCTGGGTATACATCATCATAGTAAGTAGGTTGACTCCTGTAGATCAGACCAAATATCAAAGACACACTGAAGTTAACATAGAAAAGACAGGGTAGAGCGGAACCAAATCATCAGGGAGAGATTTTCATGCGAAACGGCTTTTAGACTTGTGTGGTTCAGGCATTTGTATCAGTTAAATATGTCCAACATTACAAGCTGGCAACCAAGCAATCATTATTTTGTACTGAACTGTGAATGGAAAAAGAAATATACTAACTTGTCAATCGTTTCCACCTGTGGGGTCTAAAGAAAAGGAAGGAAAGCAAAAAAATGAGAGAAAGAGGGGGAAGGTTTAGCTTTGGGTTGAAGGAGAAACAGGTTTTACACAACAGAAGACCAAAAATACTGCAAGATGCAGCGAACATGCGAAAGGTAACGTGAGGCGTGCTGTTACAGTCAGCAGGCTCTGTGAGAGAAAGACAGCATTGTTTGCCTGTCAAGTCATTCATTGTTACTCTGACCTAAAATGACTGTAGATTTGGCACAAACCCTTTGTCGTTCCGCTCCTATCGACCATGTGCACAAGTACTTTTTTGAGTTTTGCAAAGGGCTGTAGACATAAAGGCTTGCCTAATTTCTGCACCCCTGCAGTTGTTCTAATTTCTCTTGTGTTTTGATACCCAGTCAATAACCATAAATGCCACAGCACGACACATCATGATGTCAGTAAAAGCTTCACACAAAACCTGCTTCAGTACAACTGGCCCGGACACATTAGACATGTCGTTTGCATCGAACTGTTTACTGTCTGGAGAAATCCATCTTCATCAGACTGGCAGTTATAATTAGGCCCCATACTAGTCAAAGATGGCCAGAGAAACGCTGTTTTGGCCATCTGCAGAGAAACTTCTCAAGCATGTGAAGCCTCTCTAGAGTACACAAGTAAGACTGTTGAAATAATCCAGCAGCAAAAGCTGCATTAAAAACTCTGAGTGAGGCTAAATACAGCAGCAGACCACATCTCACCAATGGCTGCAGTCAGACCACTACCATGACCCAAATTACAGGAAACAGACTGGCCTATCTTTGAAGTTCATTTCATACCACATGGCCACGTTCAGCATCATTTAAAATACGTTTTGATCCATTCCTGGAATCCTTGTATAATCTGAAACCTGAGTCAAAAAATACAAACCGGAGAACACAGTCATTTATTTTATGTAATTACACCGACATGAATTTGGCCTTGGAAAAATTCACTTCACAGCAGAGATGAGTACAGCTTTAGGACAATCAACTGTGAAACCAAGTTACTGTTTTTTTTTATGATTTAAAGCTAAGATCAGAAACCAAAATGATCTATTAAGTCAGATCAAGCAAAATGTAAGTAGAGAATGAAGAGTCACACATGAGCTCTTAACACCAAGATGTCATTTTACCTTTGGGTCTAGGAAATGTAATTAATTTGTCATTTTGTTTCTGCTCTGGTTTAACATATATACGAGACCGTATTATTTTTAAGCACAATACAAACGGGGAGATGTAATGGGGTTAAGGAAATATGGCACTTCATGAAATGTATTATTTATAATAATTTTACTTAATTTTTTAATAATAATGACTGATGATGATATAATGGCTTGTAATAAAACATTCATGCTCAACTTTTACCAAAAAAAATAAATAAATAAAATAAATAGTTAAGACAATTTCCTGTCACCATCTTAACTTTTCAATGACACAGTCCCTTTCCCTCAAAAAAAACGATAAAATACATTTTTTCTTAAACTGGACCTGATTATTTTTGTTCTAAGACAACACATGAGCTCTTAACACTAAGATGTCATTTTACCTTTGGGTCTAGGAAATGTAATTAATTTGTCATTTTGTTTCTGCTCTGGTTTAACATATATACGAGACCGTATTATTTTTAAGCACAATACAAACGGGGAGATGTAATGGGGTTAAGGAAATATGGCACAAGGAAAGCAGCTACACTTCATGAAATGTATTATTTAAAATACTTGTACTTAATTTTTAATAAAGACAATTTCCTGTCACCATCTTAACTTTTCAATGACACAGTCCCTTTCCCTCAAAAAAAATGATAAAATACATCGTTAGAATAGTCCATGAGGATTCAGGAAATAACTTCAGAAATTAGGTGACTGTCATAATATGATGGTACGGGGTTAAAACATTCGGCAAGTTTCAATTTCGAATGCTCACGGAAAATGATCTCTGGGGCTCGAGCACATGCAATGCACGAGAACCACAATAACCATAATTTTAGTCCAAAGTTTAACACAGTGCAAGTCCAAAGTATTTTCATGTACTCAAAAATCCTTTCTGACATATCACACAAGGAACCGTCAGCCAATAACACATCTGCTGAAATAACAAATCAAACAGATGGATTATTTAGTAGGGACACCTTCCTCAAAAGCTCAAAAATCTTACTTTCAGTACTTGTTGCTCTCGCATACACAGTGCTACACACATACTGTTTATACAGTGAAGATCAGGGGGGACATATTTACAGAAATAAATCATAAGATCTGCAGTAGCCAAAAAACCCACATGCCGAAAAACACAGAACAGATTTGACAAGACCAGAAAACTGTGACTGATTACTGACACATGTTACACTAATCTCTGTAAAAAAATAAAAAATAAAAAAAGAAGTTTGTCATCCAATAAATTCTGCTGCAGAGATGTTTCAGCTGGAGGAGGCCAGATTGAATTGGCTGTGTCAGCTAAATATTTCCTGCCTGTGCTTGCTTTCATCAGTCTGAGGCAGAACATGAGGCTGACAAGATCATTTGGGTCTGTTTTGACAACTGCCTCCTTTTACCTTAAATTATTCTTAAAGCCGGGATCTAAAATGACACGTTACTATTACTGCTCATGTGGTTAGAACCGACACATTTCTGCAAAAGTTAACTTATGATGTGTGTTAAATTATAAACAGACTGAAGTTGGTGTCAGCAGGGAAGTCAACATACATTAGTTATGTTTATTTTTTTCTGCACTATTTCTTAAAACCTGTGAGATAATGTACTATAATAATGACCAAAGTACATTTTTAATAAGGTGCCGTTTGGAAAATCCTCATTATAATGAGTTTTTCTCTCTTGTAAAAACTCATTATAATGAGGTGTCTAATATACCATAAAAACCCAATCAGCTACATTGTGCTTCCAAAGGTAACCGTGTTTGTTTATCCACCTACCCATTCTGTGGCTGCTGTGCACTGGCGTGGCCCTGTGAGCGCGGGGCGTTATGTTTAGGCGAGTAGGCCACGGGTTTAACACCACCTGCTGTAAATGGCCTCGCCATCTTGTTAATGGTTGTGCTGGGGGCAAAGGAGTACTTTGGCTGAACAGAAGCTGGAGCGAGCGAGTCCTATGAGGGTGTGGAAGAGGGAGACATTGCAGCACAGTGCACAACATGCAGTTAGACATTTGTGGCACAGTAAAAGTCCCTTCTGCTGTTGCACAACCCCAAGTTTTTTGTTAAGAAAGCTTCCCGTGCAGACCAACTTTTCCTTCTAACAAATGATTAGCTGGTGCTGCAGGAGCAGCTCTGTCAAAGCCTGCACATGAAAGAAGTGCTTAAGAAGTGTGAACACAGCCATTTGATTTGTGTTGGCAGTCAGCCAAGGACTGGCAAAAGTAATCTGCCTCTGCCAGCGAAATGAAAATGCTCAAAGTGAGAAAATTGTCATATTTGACTGACATGTCTCTAATGAGAGACCTCACTGAGCATTATGCATGGACTGCTAAGGAATACCCACTAAAATGCAACGCTGACTTTGTGTGTGCATTACGTTCCAACCGCTTTACCAAAAACATCTGTAGCATGAGTTTCTGACACCATTGGACTATTCAAACTGTAATCAGCTGGGCAAGTAGTGCTCAAGAGGACTGACGGGGATTCTATCAGTATTTTGCCACTATCAAGGATTGTGCAAGGCAGTACTAAATAAACTGCAGGAAAAGCCACATTCACCACACTCCACTCCATCTAGCAAACAACTCATTCAGTGACTCACTGATGCTTCGCTAATGCAGAGTGCACGAACTCTGTGAGAGCTTGACAGGTGAGTCAGGTGAATAAGATACATTTAAACACAAAGTGACATAACACAGGGTTGGGGCCGACTGTGAGCAGCGATAAAAGGAAGTTGCAGATTTAATCAATGTCCCTGTAGTCCAGTAGACCATGCCAAAGCATCTAAGTGTTCATACAGAGGTGAGCTCAGTGGTTCACACAGGTATAGTCTTACCTTCTGGTCTCCACCGGCTTTGAAAGCTCTGTGAAAAGCAAAAGATGGAGACAGCAGTTAAAACATAGCTACATTAAAATCACCTTAAAAATGTAAGTTCCAATCTGTTGAACATTTTATTTTATATAACGTGAGCAATTTACAGTTTATTACTGCAATATTATTCCTTAGTGCTTAAAGAGGACGTTGCAAACAGATGTACACAGAGTGTTGCAAACAAGTGACCAGACAGGTTTTAAACAAGTCCAGGTTAACCCCAGTATCTAAACCACCCACAGCAACAGAATGAAACACAATGCACTTAAAATGTCCACTATAATTATCTACTCGATACGTGCACAGTTCAGTTATAAGTGAACCAAGAAGTATCTATAAAATCTACTGAATGTATAGAACTGACAGTGCAAGTTATAATTTCACCTTAGTTTTTATGTGGTTTAGAAACTTTAGATAATTGGGTTAAACTGGACATGTTTACTGGAATTTCTAGTTTTAATGGCCCATAGATTCCAATGTACAGATGCTCTCCACAATGTTGTACACTTCATAACTCTAATCCCAGGAGTCGCATTACTGCGGGGCCTTTGCTGACTGGAGCAACATAGCACACAGTTCATTAAAATATCTTTACACATTAAACACGGAGGTGCCCAGCTTCACATTGCTGGTGGCTCTTAAAATAACTGAACATGAACTACTACCATCCCCTGTCCACTGCATGCAATCTACAAAACAGCCACAGTTGGGTTAAGCGAGAATGAACCAGCCTCGCACTCCCCCTCATTGTTTCAGACTACAATTACACATTCACACACAAAGGAAACAATGGACACTGTTTCCTGTGACAATGAAAAATGAAGAGCCGCTCCTGTCACTGCCTGCTCAACCACTGATAAAGCAGTGTTACAGACAGGGCTGAACAGATACAGAGAGAGGGGTGAAGCAAGCATGTCTGTGCATGTCACATTGCCGGGAAGTCAATGTGACATGCACAGTGTCTGAGCTCGCCTTAACCCACAGTCTGATGAGTCACGTTTAGAATCAGGGACATAAGGAACACGCATAATGCTTGTTCTGTTACTGTATTCATTTTGGTAAACTGAATTTAAATGAACAGATATGGAAGTGATTAAGTCACTGTTTCACAGAATAAGCGAGTTTGCTTGGACCAGTTTTGACCTGTGCTGAAAGGGAATATGCCCATTTTGAGACCATTTCCTGCCTCATTTCACTTATTCTAGATGATGCCTGCTTGGCTTTCAGGCCGATTTTAGATAAAATGTGGAAAAACTCCCATGATACTGTAATCAGCATCGGACACGTCAGACATACTCCCAACTGCAACTCACCAGGTCAGACACTAAAATATGGACATAGCGTGCCCACGTAGGATGTTACATGATCTCCTTTCTTTGATACTGAAAATCTACTGCCTGTCTCTTTTTGATTCCACTCCTCATAAAAGACTCTGAACAAAGCCAAAATCTTCCCCATAAAGAAGACTCAAGATGATCGTTGATAATGAACTAAATGAGGCACTAAACCAAACAATAGACCATATCTCCTCGCTGTGCAGCTGTCCCCCTCTCTTGACATAAAAGAAGCGGTGGATGGCAGCCAAGATACGATTAAATAAAACTGACAATGGCTCCTCTCTGAGAAGTGTTTCAGGAAAACTATATTTGCTTGTTTTACAACATAACAACAATAGGAGAGGGCGCGATGAAAAGAGGAGAATGGGAATTCTCGAGGAGGGAGTCATGGGTAAAAACTGAGGGGAAGAATGTGAAATGTTTACAGCAGCGGGACTCCACAAGGAGAAGAGAAATAGAGGAGGCAAATCACAGAGAGCAAGAAAAGTATGGCTGATGTTAAGTAAACATTCTGCCTTATCATAGGCCTATCCAAATATTACAACACTCCCTATGAGATAAAGGCAAAAAGAAAACCATTCTGTCATTAAGCAGACTTATGACTTGTGTTTTAACATGCAATATGTTCTGACAGACCCTGTTAGACAGAGGACACATCTGGCTCATGACAACTAACTATGCCTCATCCATCCCCAGAATGATGTCACTTTACTTGGTTCATACCCCCTCACCAGAAAACCAACAAGATTTTCCCCGTCTCTTTTCTAATCCCTCTGACTCTCAAACTCCAGCCCATGAGTCTGCTGCCCTCTCTCCCACACATTCCTTTTAAGGATTTAGTAGATCAAAATATAGTGTGTGGCCTCTTTCTGCGGGGAAAGAAAAATACATGCAACATCAGCAGTGTGTCTTGTTGGCTTTATGGAAAAGTAGGGAATCTGCAAAGAGACCGATCTCAATTAGCTGTAGTAATGACCTGCTGTAATATTTAAAAGGTGCCCATGGCATGCTTTTCCTTGTTTTCTGACTTATCTACAATGTTAAAATGGTGAATTATTATCTTAGACGTGACCTAAAGCTAAAAAAAAAATGAGGTGTGCGTATGTTCTAGTATTTCTATAAGAAGCAACTCTGTTTATACAAGTCTCGCAAACTTTTTTCCTAACAAAATAAAGTATTAGCTGATATTTTCTTGAATGGTCATAATCTCTAGGCAGTTGCGTGTTCATGCGAGCTTGCCTGATATCCACCGGTGCCATTGTAAAAGCGGAATATGTCGACTGCGCCCAGTTTTGTGGATATATTTTTCCTCCTGCTGCCTGCATTGTGACCAGAGGATGTGGAGAAAAATACAGGGCCTATGATTACTGCATGTCCAGGAATGTTCATGTACAGGGACTCGCTGCTTTACCTGACCGGGTCTAACCTACAAGCAGCCAGTCAGTGAAGCTCCCGTGGCAGTTAGTGATCAGCTCATCAATACTGGATTCCTCCAGAATGTGTCTGCAGCATGTGTTGTGTTGCCGGTTCACGAGAGGATTCTAACAATCCATTACTGTTAGTGTTACGCTACCTGTTGGAATTAATAGAACTGTATGTGGTTGTGTGGAGGAAGACGACTCAATCACCGGTTAGATTTACCAACCTTGGAGCTTCTTGAAAGGGAGCGATGCTTCCACTGCTCGGGGGGGTCTCTTTACTTACAAGCATCACAAAATCAAAATGAGTCCCATGCCAGTAGCTAGGCTCATCTTTATTACTGAACAAGTCAATACTTTATCATTTTCTGAAGACTTTGGGCTCTTCAGTGGTTAGATCCCAGCTTTCTTTAGGAAGTAAATCTTGTTCTTTTAAGTAAGCTTCTGAGGAAATATTTTGCTTGTAGTCTATGGGCATATTTTATCAGTCATGAATTTCTGCCAGGAGTTATATGAGCAGGTATGAGCGGTGTTTGTATGAAGGTTATCCAGGGCTAATTAAAACAAATAAAAAAATTTGAGTCAGGTCCAAATTTAAAAACTAATTTAAACCTTGGGGAAGTAAAATTGTAAAATGTGCGTGATGATAACAACTTTGAAGGAACCATCTGTTATGTTAGTCCAAAATTCAAGGGCATGTCGGCGTCTCATTTTTTTCTTCAAGTACAAATAGAGAAGGAAAATTATTCTGTGATGATCTATGCTGCTGTGTTTGACCAAGATAAAACGGAGGACGAGTGATCATGTAGCGTTCCGGCGCATCATGCGTTGCCAGATGACTTACTTGCTGAGGGTGAGGGTGAGAGAGTGTGTTGCTGCTCTGATCTTGTTTTGTGCCTCTACATGGGTCATGTCCTCTGCCTGTGCTCCACCAATGGACACCACCCAGTCTCCAACCCCGACACCAGCCTCAGCTGCCTTCCCACCTGGGGTCAGCTGGAGGGAAAGAAAACACAGAGACAGGAAGCAGATAGCAGTTAGAGAAATGTGTGGAAAGGTTTTCACATGAGGCGACAGTTATGTTCATGAAAACAAAACCTGTTGCAATGGGCAACTCCAAGGGCAGAAAGGCAATGTTAGTAACTGCCAAAATAAACAAAAAAAAAAAAAATGCATTCTGCAAAAGTTGTATTCATTTCTCATCTGATTCAATTAAAGACAATATGAGATAATGACATCATCTCAAAACACAATGTACATTTTAGAGCACTGCCTCGATTTCACTTTTTATTTTATTATCCTGGTCAGCATGTCATGTCTCAAAAAGAAAACATTTTCAAAACCCCAATGAAAAGGTACTTACATTTCATTATGTGACTACATTACCTACTATTATCTCCATCATATCACCAGTTCAAAGCTAAATGCAGGAAATCCAAGCACAAGAAACACATGTTCAGATGACTTCGCTGTAATGTCTGTTAATAATCTACTCAGGGAGTCTGTGTGTCTGGGTCTGACAAGCCGGCTGAGATTTTTCACTCAACGCTGCTGGGAACAGGCATCACAGGTCATCACGATGTTGTCAGTCATCAGTATATGATTTACTGCAGATGTGAGTTCAGACTATGAAAAAACCTCTTGAAAGCTGCAGACAGGGACCATATGTTACAAATAGTCACATCATTTTCTGGAACGACCCACTCCAGACAGGTAAGTCATTGGCCACGTTGACTGACAAAAGCATGACATCATCCTCTCAGGCCGACACGCTGACTGCACACATAATGAGTCAGAGCAAAGGGCTGGAGTCTTCTTACCAACAGGAAGACACTGACCCAGCCTGTATAGGTAGATATACACGTGCATGCATACAATATCTGATCTAAAACCACTAATACGCATAGTGCAGATGTCAAGTTGTGTTTAGTGAGGGCTTAAGTCAGCTTGCACACACGGCTTAATGAAACTCCAGACTTGTGTCCAATTCTCAGATAACTGGAGTACAAAGTGTTCAGCATCAGATAAGACAGCGAGTCTCAGGATTTCTGGCAAAAAACCCTATTAGGATTACTCTCTGATGTCATGGATCCCTGTAAATGTGAGCTCATCAAAAGCTCAGAGGACTCAGCGCTTCGATCAATAGCCTTCCACCATGTTCAGCTACCACACTCGCTGCTTTGATCCTCCACATTAAACATAAACACTTGTGTGAGCAGGAGGGTTAATATGCTTCGTAAACTGATGACAGCTCAGGCTGAAAAATGACTCCGCACCCCAAAAAGACAATGAAGTTAGTGTCTGCCATGAATCAAAACATGCCAAAAACTAAAAACAGGAGGAAATACATTCCTCAGAGGCAATGCAAGCTACACTTATTTTACAACCAAGTTCAAACATCACTCTAATTACCTTTGATTTGCACTCACTGGAAGCAATTAGAGGGGTTAAGAAAGAAATTGTTTCTCTAGTTATGAAAGAACTTCAGAGAGTTTGTACAGTTTACACTGGAGGAAAACAGCTTCAACATGCACACATAACATGTGAAAAGGGGCACCGTCTGGCCTAACGCCACTGAGGTTCACCGCAGAGCGCTGCAGGCCTGACCCCCTGTTCACTACTTTCGAGCACTTTGTGATTTTACCAGAATAAGCCTATTATTTTGTTAGTGTTAAACAACAACACATCCCATTAGTTTTAGTTACAGAAGCGCTGTCAAAACCTCAAGGGAGCTTTAGCTGTTAATGCTTCCAAAATATGCAGTCTTTAATATCTGTTAAATTAAGGAGTTCAAATATTACAGTACAGTAAATATGGACAGAAAACATCAGTATTTTCAGAAAGAACTATAAAATAAGATCTTTATGTGATTTACATTGAGCAATAAAAGCTAATGGAAAACTAACACTGAAGTGAGGCGGGACCTTGAGTCTGTGGAACAAATCAGAGGTATTTTATTTTTATATATTTGTATAAAAGCACTGAATAAATGGGAGGGGGACAATAATATTAATGTTTCCACATGGACAAGGGATCTAAAATGGTTTGACAGCTATGAAAATGATTTGATATACAGATCTAAACCCAAATGAACACGTCTGGGAGATTTTAAAGCCACGTGTTTGACAGAGCTCTCCACCACCATCATCCAAACAATAAATGGGTGAACAGAGTTTCAGAGATTTGGAGAACGTCTGCCAAGGAGCACTGAAGCTGTTTTGGAGGCTCATGATGGCCCAAGACCTTATTATGAAACACCGTTACTTGACCATTATAGAAGACTTTGCTTGTACTGTCAACCTTATAAATATAGGCTAACGTAAGATAAACAGATTTCAAAAGGGGAACAGATGAAGCCATAAAGCCTGGAGGATTGTATATGTACGTGCATGTATGTCTGTGAGATGACTTACTGATGGACAGAGACACCTGCTCTCCTGGCCCTGGTTCAGATTGCAGCTGGTCCCTCACTTGAGAAGTTGCTGCGCTCAGACCTTTGGCTGGTAGGGGGAGAACTGAAACCCTACACCCTGCCAGCAGTTTGTCAATACACAAAGGACAGTGGAAAACATGTTCCTGAACACTGCGCTGTACTTTCTAACAACCCGGGATCTAACATGATGATGCAGCCACAGTGTCCCGTGTGATATCATCTTGTAGTAGCAATATCGTACTACACAGATGACTTTTTGATACAGCCAGTTCATCTAACGCACATACAAACGAGAAGTAAGCTGACCTTGTCATAATTTACTTTGTGTAAATATGATTGGCGCTCACACTAATGCCATGCTTGTGAATATGAAGGTCAACAACAACCTAAAAAGGTCCATAAACTGTTTCAGGGCTTTTTTGAACAGCACCAAAGCTGTCGAATTTCAAAGCACTGCACGTGCAATGCCTTAAATTTAGCTACCGCTTCCCCTGACTGGCCCTGCAGGGCCTCATTCTTGCTCTCAGCTGGGTAGTAATGTTTTTAGTTAAACTAATAATGCACTAAAGTTTATCAACAGCTGTAGATATAATGGCCATGTAATGAGCACTGGCTCATTTTTATTCTTTCCACAGCTATTCAGGGGCTGACAGACAGCCTGTCCTTACGTCACTCACACAGCACAGCTGATGCAAAGCCATAAATATCCCTCTGAGAAACGGAAAACCAAACTTGCAAGTATGCAGTCGCCCCGTAATAACTACAGGGGAACACCTGGCACTAACTCCTCTTCTAGCCACAGAAGAGATGCCCCCTGCAGGCAATCAGTAAATCACTGAATTAGTAATCCACCCACAGAACAAGACCTCTTTTCCCAAAGGTTGTGCAATTGTGACACAGACACGGTGGGTGTTTAAGAGTATACCAGTAATAAAGCAACAGATGGCCTAAAAGTCAGAAACACACAAATATCAGACTCGATGACACATCCAGCTGTGGTGGTAGAGGTCTATTCACAAATCTCCCCACTTGCTTATTGACAGGACATCATCTGTTATTTGCTCCAAACATTTGATTTCAGTGGTGTGGCATGTGTTTGTTGATAGAAACCAGATGGCGCTCAGGAGTCTCAGTTATGGTATCATAATGTTTATGGAACGGCAGTGGCACGAGATCTGGGGCAGATATATAGAGAAACTTGTCAAGAGCTGTAGAGCTGCCCCAGACTGTGGCAGACTCGAGTGACAGAGCAATGAAACAGGGTTACGACAACATCTGGCTCCCTAAATTTTATACCTTTCCTGTTGAAACAGGATGTTGCTGCAAAGGTGGGCAGAGTTATAATTTTACTTAATAAGACCTCCATCTTCTCAAGGTCGGAGAGGTCACGAGAAATTCAAAAACAAAAGTTGGCACAGAGATTGGTTCGAAAAGAATAAAGACGGAGCAGAGGATTAAACATGCAACTACTGAAGTGGCTGCTTCAAGATTTTCAGCTTCTGTAGGCGGAGATGCTCGTATGACAAGGACCTACAAATGCATTTAACTCGTGTTTGGCCTGTTCATAAGCGACAGCTGTTAGAGGATAATCCTCTTATTGAGAGCAATTATAGTTCTACTACAACTCTGCGTTTCCTGTGTAGAAAGAGGCCAATATTACTGAGAAAGATCATTCCTCTGTACAAGTTCCTTGTGTTACTGCAGAGACATCCGCTACAAACAATGTCAGAGAGTGTCACTGCAACGCCACCTGAAACCACGGGCTCTATATTCCGTATACATTCATTCTGGAGCTGGTCATTACTGCTGCACTACCCGACTTCTGACTGTCTCTAGCTGTCGAGACCACATATGATGTAGCTTAAGAGACAGGGCGGGAGGGGCAACGAGGAGCGGAGGGGGAAGAGGAGGGGATACTCTTGCTTCACCCTTAATGTGTTAAAAATTAAAAGGGACAAGTCAGTTAATGCAGCTTTAACGTCCGTCAATCTGCCAGCCCTGGATCAGCTTATTCATCTGTGTCATAGATTCTCCGTTGTTGTTTAAAAAATAATTAAAAGCATCAGCGAAACACATCACTGCTTCATTAGCAAACACCAGACCTGAGCGCGAGTAGCTAGCACATGGTAAATACAGCAGAGAGCTTACACAAGATCTTGTGCATGCACAGTTGACTCTGACTCATGTTACAACCGCGCGGAGCCTCTGGGGCAGCATAGTTGGGTCTGGTGTTTTCTTATGAAATAACATATTATGCAGTGCAGTGGGATGTTTCCCTGATGTGTTTTTATCATTTCTGAACAACAACAGATCCAGGACTGACAGACATAATAGTGAGTAGAGGCAATTCATTGTCAGTTTTACTCTCTGTATGGAGATTGCTGAAAATACTAGTAACATAAAAAATGACTGGCTTTATCCTTTAAAAAGAGTGATTTTGTTTTTTAATAAATGTGTATTCATGTTACATTAAAGTCAAAAGTTATTTTTCCTTACCAAGTGACAGTTTGGCATGATCTGTTTTTTTTTTTTTGTCTGATCTCACTGGAAAAGTATTGCAGTGAGACTGGGGGAGTCCATCATTAAGATGAGAGAAGTCAGCGTGGAAGGCATATTTGAAAAGAGAAAGGAAACCAGAGGACTGTCTGTTGGCAGCAACAGGGTGGATATGAGAAAAATCCCAGGAATGCTGAGAAAGCACATCTTTTCAGGCTTGCACACAGAAGAGGAAGGAAACAAGGAACTTGGAAACACATATACTGACTCACACACAGAAGGTAACAAGTTACAGACCCATGACTTTCAAAAACATGATTAAATGAGATGTTGACCTTGTCGCAATCTGTCACAGACTAAACTAAATTAGTTAAATAACCTTAAGCTTTTATATAAATCACTTCAACACTAATTGTTATTTAATCTTTACCAAAAAACAACACTTAAACGCATTGATCTTTCTGGAGTTATCACTTGTGATCTCTGCCATACAGCGATAGAGATAGAGATATTTATCTCAACAGCTACAAGCCAGTAAAAAAACAAATACCCACTAAATTCATCCAACGTAAGCCCAGTGAGCACATGCCTGACTTCTCCCCGTTACTAAGGAATACTGTGTATCCTCCAGGTTTACATCCACTCATTGGGCTGTTTTCATCCTCTGCGGCTGTGGGATTCACTGTCCAGTCTTTTATGACAACAGCAAGGAGAGACAACAGTCCCATCTTTATAACTTCTGTATCTTCTAAGCCACAACAAATGTTAGCTAATGACCAGTCAAAGAATCTTTTTTTTTCCAGATTGGGATTGATTATCAGTCTTACAACAAGCTGCTTAGATTATTCTCACAATTTGTGGAAGGGCTGATGGGCAAAGACTTTGCACTAGAGGAAATGTGAGCCATATTTCTCTCTATGAGGAATGATCAGCATGTGTAATATAGATGGATTGCAGGAAAACTGGCCGATGACTCACCAGAGTCACTCACCCTGCACGACACCTCGTCTGTCTAGAGTGAAATTCCTCTAAGTAAACTCCTTTATACCACCAAAATTCCCCAGCTTGTTTCAGGACATTCACTAAATGAGGTTTTAACATCTCTTTGGTAAAGGAAAATGTTTCTTGTCATGAATCCAAAAGGAAGCCCGGGTTTCAGACTGCAACCCCAACCAGATAGCGGGGCAGATACAAGACATGTACTGACAAGGCTGCTGAGAACTGCTGCCCTCCCCACAGGATTACATCTGCTTTACACACACCTCAGCGCAACACTAAACACTGTAAACTCTGTTCACCAAATTAACCAGTGCAACAGGTAACAATGACACTGTAAACTCAAATTAACCAGTGCAACAGGTAACAATGCATCATGTGACTGTTGCTGTTCTATTCTAACTGCGTGACTTTTGGCAGCAACTACAAAACAAATAATTGATTTCACAAAGAAAGCACAAGGTTCATCACAGCGTGTTAATCAAGTGGTGGAATGACTGAGAGTATGTGGGGTAACCATGTGGGGCTCAGGCCAAGACTGACATGTACATGATTACCTTTTAACTCCCAATTATCTCTGGAATAGGAAACCACAAATATTTAACAGAACTGATGAACAGTCTAACATTTATAAATCACCACAGCCTCTGAGGACGCAATGTAATACTGCCAAATGAGAATGAGTGCATAATAGAATGCCAGGTCTGTGTGTGCAATAGCTGGCAGCAATGTTGGAATGATTTTATGTGTGCGACTGCAAGTGTGAGTTTGTGTGTTTGTCAGGCAAAGCAGCGCTGCACTTATAAGGCCTGGAAAGTGGTTGCTGGTCTCTTCAACAGCACGAGTAGTTTATAGAGCATTTGAAAAATCATTCAGCGAAGAGGTAGTGACCTAACATGGAGAGCACACAGCGCTGTGAAACAAGTGACAGCATGTCCTTGTGACCACTGAATAGGCCTACTCTTCATGCAAAGGCGCTGCATATTAAGTGTTTGTATACATAATAAAAAACGGGATTGATATGAAAATAAATGTTGCAGCCGCCAGACGAGGGCCTTTGCTATGCAAACCAAACAGAACAGAACATGCATATGCTCAGATAGGGTCATTATTTGGGGACAAATCTTGTACTGAAGACCAACAAACTCGTGTGCATAAGCTTTTACATAGAAGCTTGGAGGAGCATAAGAGACTTTGCATTATAATCTCTAATAGGAGTGCAGAGATCTTAATGATGCAAAGAAAGTACAAAATCTTGCTCCAACAACAAAGAGTTTCTTACCCTTGACACGGTGAGGGGCATGCTGAAGTCCTTGCCACCCTGTAGCCTGAAGCCCCAAGGTGCTGGGCCACTGAGGGTTACAGAGTATGTGCTCATAGCCTTTAAAAACAGAAAGGAGGAAATGGTGTCAAAAAGCCAAGAAAACATTTCCCAGCCCTCATATCCTTTCCTGCTCCATCTAAGTAGCCTAGCTGCTGCTTGTCTGCATTCGTTTTGAACAAACATGCATTTTATACAAAAAAAAACTAGTCTAAACATTGTTTCCTCAGAGTTTATAATGTTAAATCTTAATTTTATAGAAATAATACATTTCACTATCTCCATAAATGTACAGGACAATAAATTACCAGAGCTGCTGCTGGGGCACAATGTTCCTACATTCATCAGCCCACAAACTAATAGGTTACGTCATAGTCTGAGCAGAGCATTTATACAGAGGCCCGTCTCAGTGTAACAAAGAAGGCAAATTGGCACTGCTGAAAATATCAGTATCATAAATCTCCTGGACAGAGCGGTAAGAACAGTAGTGACATTAGACTCTTAGCCTGTCTTTACTCCTTCAGTTAAGTAGACAACTTATTGTATTCAATTCATAATTCTTCATTAAACTGCATTATAATAAACACAGAGCCACAAACCTGCCTTGAATGAGTGTAAATATTTTACATCATTTCTGCAGGTGTGAAACCAACAACCTCACCAGAGCTTCTTTTTGACAGCTGGCTTGGCACTAAATAACCAGATAATTTTAAGAAGCAAACGCAACTTTTCACAAAGGGCTTAGTCACTTGCTCTCACTGTACTTGCGAGTCACAGCTGTACCAACGACCTCTGCACCTGCACCTCTTTCTCCAGCCCTTGCTGCTCCTCCTCCTCCTCCTCCTTCACACCTGGTGTCATTGCTCTCCATGACTCACAGCTAGCTATAACCACGTTGCCACCATGCGAACCTACCTTGTCCTCAAGGGCCAGTCTCTAGCCCAAACCAGAGAGAAAGCTAGAGTCGGTAAGCTAAGGCAAGCAGCTTTTCTCTCTGTTGGCAAACCCTAACCCCGGACACTGTGCCTGTTTCACAGACGAGCCCTAGCCGCTCCTCACTACTCAGAGGCTATATAAGGAATGTAAGACTACACCAAACTATTTCAGCCCAACACCCACATGAGTCACAGGGGGGATGGACGGAGAGAGGTAACGTTAACTACCCCTATATTGTGGCAAAAGCCCACTACATAAGTCAGTGGATTTTTTTAAGTGCACTTGAGAAGTTGCAGACAGCCACAACTGAAATAAAGCTTGTGGTACATGACATTCCTTCTGGAGGCCATGAAACACAGTACAAGCAAATCAGCAATAATATTTTTACATCAGCTTCTTAGAACAACAAAGGAGCTCACTTATTGAAAAAAGTAAAGAAAACTAGAGATGTGCTCTAGGTGATATAAAATCAGAAATATGGCCTAACACACTGGAAATAAACCAGCAAACCGCAGCAATAATTCCATCAATAAAACATGCAAAATAAATGGTATCCCCTTATAGTTTTCATTTAGTATTTATGTGCGAGTGAAAACTCTTTTAATGCACTTTCATCAACATTTTCTAAATTATATGAAGAATTACCTAAACTTGGACTATTTAACTCTTCACACTTTGTATCTCCTATGGAAAAGTCCAGGTGCCAAGAAAATCAGATGAGAAAATAAATGTGAAAGCCCATAGCAGCAACAGATAATGAAGGTTAACGGGCACATTGCAAACGATCTGTTGCATGAATCTAGACGCCACTCTGTGAAAAAATCATTAGGTTAAACCGATCAGCATGCTAATTATGTGACGCTGCCCCTGGTTATGGCCTTGCTATTTATAATCTCCTATGGTGTCATCCCAAGATTTCTATAGGAGCATGTACTTTTAATGTTAACGTGAGTGTCGTACTATATTCTCAAATACACAGGATTACACGCTTATTTATTTATTTGTTTATTTTTGGCTAAAAAAAGAGGACGCAATTATGATCATAGCCTCTATAGATTACTTTTAAATAATTTCACTGTGCCAAAACAATAATTTGCAGCACATTATTAAAGGTTACACTGTGAACACTGACGCCTGGTAATACCACTACGGTGCAGACCTCAAAATAAAACTCGACATTCACAAAAGCGCAGGAAGCGAGATGGGACAGGAAAACTGGCAAAACTCGGCTGTAACAAAGTAGCTTTCACCGCTTCCGACCGACAGTGGTCGGGAGCAGCGAGATAAAACCATCATCTGCAGAGTTAGGAACACAACACAGCCCCTTCAGGGGGTTTTATTGTGAAAAACCTAATGATTTAAAAAAAAAGTTATACCAAATACAAAGGACTGCGTGCAGATGTTTAGACAAGCGAATTAGCTCACCTGCTGTCCCTCCTTGTGTTCGCCAGACATCACGATTAGGTCTACTGGATGAAAAAAAATTAATAACTTTCGGGCTTCCTTAAGCTGGAGGACAGGAAGCCAGCAAGCAGCGGCTTCCTCACTCACGTTCTTTTTGCTACTACTGGGCTGAGACGTCACTAGTCACGTGGGCCGCTACCTTTCAGGCTATAACCCAGTAGAGGCCGTGTTCTGCACCCATGTAGCTGGGAAACTCTAGTTTTATTTGAAAAGGGAAAAAAAAGACATCTTGATGTTTTGAGCTTTGAAAAACTAAACCATACAGATCGATAAGTTGTCAATTAAACTTTCCAATTTTCACAAACGAGCCCTACTTTCTTGGAAACTAGCTTATAACCATAATTTCCCCCCCACATAAAACTTGTATATGGAATAATCAGAATGTTCCCTGCAGGAGAAATGTTTGAGAGGAAATGGTTTCATAAGGGTATTATACTGGCAGTACAACTTTTTGACGCAACAGGTCAAAAAGCAAACCATCCAGTGCAATCCATACTGACATAGCAGCTTTACAAAGGACTTAGGTTGTAACAAGGCATATTTAAATTGAATGTATTGAATTAATACTGTAATACTACTACTAATAATAATTTGGTTCATGTATCTGCCAATTAGAATGAGAAAATCTACTTTTTTGATAAATGTTTGGATGCAAGACTTTTATTTGTAGGCTAATTGGGTATTTTTACTCTGCGTTACTACTACAGTATTTTTATTTAGGGAGAGATATGAATAGGTCTGGACTGTTGATAGATAAGATGTACACTATATTGCCAAAAGTATTCAGTCACCCATCCAAATCATTGAATTCAGGTGTTCCAACTACTTCCATGGTTACAGCTGTATATAATCAAGCACCTATGCATGCAGACCGCTTTTACAAACATTTGTGAAAGAATGGGTCACTCTCAGGAGCTCAGTGATTTCCAGCGGGGTACAATGATAGTATGCCACCTGTGTAATAAGTCTAGTTGTGAAATTTCCTCGCTACTGAATATTCCACAGTCAACTGTTAGTGGCATTATAACAAAGTGGAGGTGATTGGGAATGATAGGAACTCCGCCACGAAGTGGTAGGCCATGTAAAATCACAGAGCGGGGTCAGGGGATGCTGAGACGTGTAGTGCACAGAGGTCGCTAACTTTCTGCAGAGTGAATAGCTACAGACCTCCAAACTTCATGTGGCCTTTAGATTAGCACAAGAACAGTGCACAGAGAGCTTCATGCAATGGGGTTCCATGGTCAAGCAGCTGCATCCAAGCCTTACATCACCAAGTGCAATGCAAAGCATTGGATGCAGCGGCG